GGATGTGGTGTTTCCCGAGGATCAATTCGAATCTTTGCCTTGAAACTCGCAAGGAAATTAGGCATCACAGATTTTAAGGCGAGTCATGGTTGGTGCACAAGATTTATGAAAAGAAATGATTTTGTACCGAGACGGAGAACGAAAATATCACAGCGTCTTCCACAAGAACTTGATGACAAGGTTATTGAATTTCATAGGTTCATAATCAAACACCGGAAGAAGAACTCGTATAGACTTTCGTGTATTGAAAACATGGACGAAACGCCCATGAATTTTGATATGCCAGTCAGTCAAACAGTGAATAAAGTTCGTGAAAAAACAGTTTTAGTTAAAACTACTGGACATGAAAAATCAAGCTTCACAGTTGTGCTATCATGTATGGCTGACGGCACAAAGCTGACGCCTATGGTAATATTTAAAAGGAAAACAATTCCAAAGCAAAATATTCCAAAAGGTATAATCATCCATGTGCACGAGAAAGGATGGATGGATGAAGGCGGCATACAAGTATGGCTTAAAAAATTCTGGAACTTTAGACCAGGGGGACTGCGCAAAGAAAAAAGTCATCTTGTGTGGGATACGTTTCGGTCACATCTTGTTGACAGTGTTACTGTTGGGATTAGGAAGAAAAACACTGATACAGCTGTGATTCCTGGTGGATTAACAAGTCTTGTCCAACCACTGGATGTTTCCATAAACAAACCATTTAAAGATGCGGTAAGAGTGAAGTGGAACAACTGGATGATGGAAGGCGATAAGACATACACAAAGGGAGGCAACATCCAAGCTCCATCACTAGCAACATTATGTGAATGGATTGTAGAGGCCTGGGATGCAATCAGACCAGAAATTGTGGTGAAATCTTTTAAAAAATGTGGGATTTCGAATGCTCTTGATGGAACAGAAGACGACTTGTTGTGGGATTATGAGGCTAATGAGAGCGTGAATGAGGATGAAGATATTGATGATCCTATGGCTGACGATGGTGTTGATCCATATGACGATGCTGTTCAAGGAGAGGACTGGGAGGAGCTGTTTGGTGCTGCAGATGATGACAAGGAAAATGATTTTGATGGATTTTAATGAAAATATTCAGAAATATGGTATCGTAGTATTTGTTCAAGTCAATTAGGATAGAATATTATTGTAATACAACAGTTTTTTTAACTGAAAACCATTCGAAAAGCGATTATGGTAACATCTTTTGAACAACGAAAGAAAGTGAAAGTCATTGTTTTCGTCACAATTTTATCCCACTTTCCACTGTAATACGTACGTCATTTCAGCAAAAATATTACATTTCCATATTTATTTCTGAGAATACATTCATTCAGGCACAGTTAAGGTAAAATATACTTGTGATGTAATATTTAATGAAAATATTTAGAAATAAGGTATCGTATTTTTCTTTTGTTTGAAATTTAATTAACAAAAATTTATGTATCTATAAATAAACTTTTAAAAATGAATACTTTGTTTTACATACTCCTGTGCATACCATACCATGCATTTGGCTACTTTGGGCTTGCCATGATGACGCAAGAGAACTGCCCTGGCAACTGTACCGACACTCGTAGCGGGTGGCGCGTTGGTGCGTCGTTTCCATTGTTTACTGGTAAATATTTTTCAACCTAACGAAACTATTACCCGTATAGGGGTCGACCCCCAACATTTTGCCAAAAAATTTGTTCTTAAAAACTCGTGCTATACACAGCGTATATCGGTATTACCGTTCATATATATTTTAATTAATGTTTCTGAATTTTTTTTATTGAATTAATGTTTGTGTGTGCAAAATGAACAATACAATTCATTAATAATACGTGGAATATTAGAGGAGACGAGACGGCTGCCGGCATTGTTTTCGTTAATGCTTACAAAACCAGTGACTGATTGGTTCTACATATAAAACTGAAGAAAATAAGACCCTGATTGTAGCTGTAGTAAAATTACTGTAAAAAAATTAATATGCGTGTTTGAAGTAATGTTATTTAATGTAATAAATGGAACAATATAAGTAGCTAACCATTAATGGTAAAAAAAAAAGTGAGACTGCGCGTATGTAAGTGCGCACATGTGAAAACATATCGTCATTACTCTACATAAGAATATGAAAGCAACACTTATTTACTGCTCATATATATTGAAGGGTTAAATGTTGTACTCTGTATAGACAAGCAGAGAGAGAGAGAGAGAGAGCAGCCGAACTGCTGGATGTAAACAAACCTTAATTTCCCGCGGCTTTGTTGTTGTTTTAAGGGGATTAGCCCGCCCGGGCATAGGTCACTGACCCACATTGGGGCCTGAGGGGCAAAAATTTAATACTCCTGTAATAATAATAATAATAATAATAATAATAATAATAATAATAATAATAAAAAAAAGCTGCCTATCTACCTATTAGACATACTAAAATCGTTCCAGACCACGGGAGTTTCCGGACCACAGAATGCCGGACTAGAGAGGTACAACCTGTATTCTAAATTGTATATTATTAATGATGAAACATACACCATAAGAGGCTGATCATCCGAGAATATATTGAAACAATAAAAAAATGTGTACGCGGCAACAAATGGTACCACCACCACCGTGTTAAATTATATATTGTATTTTCTTTATTTCATACTACTGTATATGCTATATTATTTATGATGAAACATACAACATAATAGGCTGATCATATAAGAATACTGTATCATAAAGAATAAATAAAATCAAACTTGCAATCTTGGCAATGGCTAGTCCCCCTCCCCAACATTTATTCACCGTGTCACCTCATACCTATTAGCCCTTGTTAGGTCTGTGTCAATATGATTAGACCACTGTACAGTATCCCCATTAAAGACAATACTGTACATAATAAATAAGGTAATACGTGAACTGTATCCTATAATTAAAAAATATATATAAACTACTTGAACCGTCATTATACCACTGTATTATATAAGAGATGCATTTCTGATGGTGTATTTGAAAGGTACAGATATTAAATAATGAATAAAAAATAAACAATATTTTATCATGGTATAAGAAATGAGTTAAAATGCTCAAAAGCAATTGAATATTCACCACTTTAATTTAGTTAAAGTGTTTACCAAGACTAACATGAACAGCAGCTAAAGCAACAAGTATTTCTTAAAATGATCCCTCGTGGTAAGTAGCCATCTAACTTGTAGAATTCAATATGTCAAAATGCATCAAGTCATATTGGTCAGAGGATGAGTCAACGGCAGTTCAGTAAGAATGTTACTTGATTATGTTCATTCACCGCGAGAAAAAACATGATATAACCGAGTGCGAATATAAAGAGACGATTATTTGCCAAACAGCCTAATATTCTCCCTGTAAGTGCTGTAAGATGGTGGGAAAAACAAATATTATGTTTTCTCGAAACCTTGCTTGGATTTTACAGATTAACTCGTTCATATTTCTTCTAATTCCATTGAATTTCATTAAAGATATTTCAGGGTTTACTCCAACTAGAAAAACTGTTGCTATACTGATAGTTCAAATAAGAGGAGAAAATATTATTTTAATAAATAATTACTAGATTGATATGCTAGGCAAGTGGCAGACTCCTCATGCCTTGATATACAGACAAGACATACGGCATATGACAGTAGCACAGAGATCAGAGAGGGCAACAGTACAGCAATGTTTACTGGCTTTTAACAGGAATCCCTTCAGTAACAAAAATTTCAACTGACCCCACACTGGGAATTCTGGGTAAACATGTAAGTCTCATGTGACCGTCCATAGGTCATAAACATAAAATGTGTTCAATTTACATATTCAAAACAGTAAACTATTTCTTAAAATAGTCATTTCAATTTTGAGACAATGAGAAGAAAATACCGGTAATATCATCTTTAATACACTATTACTTACAACATACAGTGTGGCTAAAAGCTCTCAGATTATCAGTTATGGCAACATCCAAGGTAAATCCTATAGGAATAATCATGTTGAAAATATATAACACATCGCAAATAATCATGTTTAGTGGTGTATGAGCACAATCTAAAGCTACTATATTTAGTTTAGAGAAAAAGTATTGTCTTTCACTATCACAGTAGAATTGAGGACAAATTTTACATTTTTCACATAATCTGTAGTGTACTCTATGGCTATGGTCTTTCTTTACTTTTAGTATTATTTAACAAAATTCAGACACAAAACACCCACTTGAAAATTAAATTTGTTCCCAAAACAATTCCAAGACAAAATTATAAACACAAAACTGAACCACTAATACCAAATGAAATTTCTGAGGAGTGGTACAGGACCGTCAAGAGCAAACTATAGCTCATACTGTATTACCAAGGCATTTGTATGACATTATGTGTCATGACTGTGAAAAATTTAGTTGTGGTGTGGGATCATGTGATGGCTGAAATACCACGCACTCATCATTCTGTCACTTAATGTAACTTGCTGACAAATCCCAAGACCCTTCAGACTTTTATGCCCTTAATGCACGAGTCATAAAAGCAAGCATGAACTCTGCATGCTTCACAGATGGGCGCTGTAAACGGTTCACCTAGCACAGGATGTAAGGGGGTGCCCAATAAACTAGCCCCCTCGGGGGCAATCTAAAGAAAAATCTATAGCAATACAGTTTAAAGATGAAAGACTGGTGGCAGTATGGCTTATTGAGGTGAAAGTAAAATGAACATGGTACAGGGTATAAAAATCTAGGGCTTTTCTGTGATGGCAGTCCTCCCATGATAAATTCAAGAATGATAAATTCAAGAAAGTTTGAAGTACTGCACAGTACTATCAAACTGTATATAGATAGCCCAGATTGCTCGTTATTGAACAACTATAGCAGTAAACAAAATACAGCACTATACTTAAAAAATCTTTCAAGACCCTGTGTATTAATATTTACATTTCTATAATACAGTACAGGTACCTGTACTTAGCTTTTCTGAGGTGAACATGATACACACCCTAATATAGTAACAATAAGTTGGGCTTATATATACTGTACTTACGATGCCATGGTTGAGCATAGGGATGATCAGTAGATGCAAACACTGATGTTCCAGCAATAACCGAGGGATTACTACAGTTTTCTTGCAACTAGCAGGTACAGTACTGTAGTTTACTTGGGTGTTAATACTTTGCAGCAGTGTTAGCCATTTCCTGTTAGATAAACGAGTTTATTAATCCTAACATAAACAACTACAAAAAATACTTAAGGATATCTACACTCAACAAAAACTTCTTGAACACCTGGGCACAGTGGATGTGAGAATGGACACAATGGGGCTTGTCATCTCGGAATGGTTTCAGATTGCAGTGATTAAAGCATTCCATAAGGTTTTTGGCGAGAGTATCATGACTCAAAACTGTTCTGCTAAATACTGTACTGTATAAGAAACGACACATTTTTAGTATTTGTGATAAATTATGTGAAAGAAATATGAGCATGTTGGTGTGCTTATAACTACAGTACGGGTTACACCAAAAATAAATTAGTCACTAATGTAGGTTATGTATATAAGCTACTGTGCCGAGTAGCAACCCTGTACATAAGCTACTGTGCCGAGTAGCATTTATATACAGTATATAATCACGTGGCAACATTGCCCCGAGGCTGCCATATGGCAAGGCAGCTTCAGTCTGACTGTGTGAGCCGTGCATGGCACACGCGAGTCACCACTTGTATTTCTCTCATCCATAATAAACGGACTCAGTGTTACTCAGTGTGTCCCTAGCCATCACTGCATTCTTCAGGGCACACTAGTAACCTTCAACTAAATAATCTACATATTTTACAGTACTTTGATCACTATACTCTCATAAACTTGACAAAAATGAGTTTTGTAGTTAATATCCTCCCAAATGTGTACACGATGTGCAGCAGATCCGTAAATACAGTATGTACTGTACATATCTGTAAAAAGATATATTTTTCTGATGGCAATTATTTTAATTACAGTATTAAGATACAAAGCTCTTGGGTACATTTTATCATCAGTTTCCATAAAAAACATATATGACAAAAAATCTGAAAAATATTTTAGTGGTGGTCTTCTTTTTCTCTCAGGAAGGACAGAGATGTGACCTGAGGGATTGTCCTTAATTCAGTAGGTCGTGTCTGAATTCCCTTCTAACTAATGCGACAGATATTAACAATCATAAGTTGCCACTGATACCGACTGACTGAACCATTGATATGAACAGGCTGTCATCATGCCATGACAAATGATAATAAATTTCATCTCCATCTCAATATGGTTTACTTCTTCATGTTGTACTTTTGTTTAATGTTTATCTCCTTTTATGAAATATATTGAGTATATTATAAGGTTTTATATTTATGTTTTTCATATTATACTATACAGGACGTATCTACTTTTTTTTCAGCATTCTAAGCCCACGAGGAGCCTTTTATGTTTTGTAACTTACTTATAACTTTTTGACTAGGGTGCAGTATATACTAGCATGTAATAATAATACTGTAGCTTTTTTTTTTTTTTTACACTTTTGCCAATTGTTAGCTTACTATGTAGACGGTCAGTCGAAATTAAAAATGTGAGTAGGTGTATCAGACCTGGACCCAATGCTTGAAAATGGTAATTACACAGATTCTGTTCTGACCAGGAGAAGGCAGAGGCATTGAACAAATTCTTTTCCAGTGTTCACAAGAGAGGATGCAAACAATCTTCCTGCATTTGAGGACAGACGGTTTGACAGTGCTGACTCACAGTGTTTCTCAGAAGAGGGTATAAGAAATAAATTGTCAAATCTATAGGTTCATTAGAGTACCAGCCCTGACATGGTGCATCCCAAAATATAAAGACAGTTATGCAACGAGCATGCAAAAGGTCCCCAGTGATTGGAAAACAGCATGCAAGTCCTATATTCAAAAAGGGGCGATTGTCACTCCACAAATAATTATAGACCAGTAAGACTGACCAGCATAGTGTGTAAAGTGCTAGAGAGCATTATAAGAAATGCCATGAGAGAACATCTACTTTGTAAAGGACTGCCATCATGGTTTTAAGATGGAATGCCCCTGCTGAACTCTTATTACTGAACTCAAGGTACTGGATGTTTGGACCCAAATTCTGTAACAGAGCAGCAATATCGACAGTATATATCTAGATTTTGCCAAGGCTTTCGACAGTGTACCCCATGAAAGGCTAAGAATTAAATTGGAAGGGCACAGGAATTGGGGAAGTGTCCTAGCATGGATCAGAGACTTTCTGCATGATCGCAAGCAGTGTGTGGTGATTAATGATAAGAAATCATCATGTGTACCCATAACAAGCTAGAAGCTGTACACTCCTCCATACAAATGTTTGCAGACAATGCCAAGTTATTCAAGGAAATTGAGAACTCTTGGGACAACCTGCCAGTGTGTTGTGACAGCTCTGAGTGTGAGCTCTTTCAAGGCCAGACTTGACCAACAGAGCAGGTTCAGATATATTCAGGAGTCAGTGCATGCCCAATACTTGCCAACAGTGTGTAACAGACGGCTAACGTTTGGTGGGAAAAAGGTTAAAAGTAAAAAAGTATTATCCTGTTCGAGAGTTCTGAATTGTACAGTATTTGGGCATGTATGGGCTCTTGAATGTACAGTACCTGGAGCTCAATATTCATGCCATCACAACAATCTCCGACAGCTTATTCCAAGAGTCCATGTCTCTTACTCCTAACAAGTTAGCTCTGGCGGTTTTCTGTAATGTTATCTTTTAAATTGAGGCTATGACCCAGTTGCTAACTCCTGACATGCATACAGTATACCTGTACACTCGGTAAAAAAAAAAAATAATATACAGTATATACTGTATATATATATACTGTATAGTATAGCCCACCCGGGCACAAGTCACTGACCCCCATTGGGGCCTGGGAGGCGAAAATATAATAATAATAATTATAATAATAATAATAATTACTGTATAATAATAATAATAATTATAATAATTATTATAATAATAATAATTATAATAATAATTATTATAATAATAATAATTATAATAATAATTATAATAATAATAATTATAATAATTATTATAATAATAATAATTATAATAATAATTATTATAATAATTATAATAATAATTATTATAATAATAATAATTATAATAATTATTATTAATATACTGTAATAATAATAATAATTCATAGGATCTAGGTCGTGTTTCTCACTTTATATCTTTTTTCATTCTTGTATTTCTTTATTATTATTATTATTATCATTAATACAGTATTATTATTATTATTATTAATACAGTATTATTGTTATTATTATTATAAATTTTATTATATTTTATTATTATTATTATTATTATTATTATTATCATATTATTTTATTTTGGTGTACTGTACTGTATTTTTTTTATTAAAAATTTTATTTACTATGAATAATTATTATAATTGGTATTACTATTACATTTTCGCAGGCCCCGATGTGGGTCAGTGATCTATGCCTGGGTGGGCTAATCCCGGTTTATATAAAAAAAAAAAAAAAAATTGCTCCAAAAATTTTTCGGTTTTCGGATAAAGGGTTGTCAACCTGTACTGTATGCACAATTGTGTACAATTGTTTTTTATACCATGTGAGGGTTCAAAGGGAGATAGGTTGTTTAAGGTCACGTATACCTAGTCACCCCACCCACCCAAGATATTGAAGATGGGTTTAAAATATAATCCAATACATACTGTACTGGTCACGTGCTGAAGTGCCCCGATTGGGAAAAGCAGTAATTTTATTCATTATGATCGAAAAGGGAATAGTGCATGTCCACCCATTTTTACTTTCCTCTGAAGGCTAAGGTCAACAGTACAATTTAGGTTCATATCTAATCCCTTTTCATTATTTTTAATTTATCTTCATCATTATTTTTAATTTATCTTCTTTGCCAGTGGTTGGCCGGTCACATTTGTTACACGTCTGCTAGAACTGGCTCCAGAATGTACCCAGTACTTGAATCTGCACCAATGTTTGAAAAGCTAAAATTCAGTGCCACCACAATGCTCACTAGCAGATTATTCCAAGAATTAACAAATTTCACTCTAAAACAGTTTACACCCAAGCTGTGACCTCTAGTGTGGCAAGCAACTGCTGGCTCCGGGTATGACTTATCGACTGAATACTGTAATGTCCTCCGAAGTGTATATTGATTTTTAATACGTAGTCTCCCCTTGCTCATTTTTATTGTCTAGAAACAGTACTGTAAGCTAAGCAACTGCAGGCATTCAAATCTCACTGGGTACAGTACCCATAGTGGTGGTGGTGGTGGTGGGGGGGGGGGGGGGAAATAAAGGGCCTTGAAATGCCATCGAGCATTTTAATTTTTTTACAAATGGCATTTAAATGCCTTAGAATACGATTGACCAACCTAGAAGATTATCCGAATTAATTCATTAAACTGCTAATGTACCTAGTGATTCACAAATTACATTCAGGAGCAGTAAAACTAGAGTACATATACTGTGCAATATATTTGATATTTCACTGTACACCTCAAAATATATACTGTATAATGTACAAGGTTGAGAATTAAAATCATTTGCTCTACATTTCATTTTATTAGATTTGGTTACATAAAATTGGTCATTACACTGCAACTGGCAACTGCAGAATTACTACAAAATTAAATTACAGTATGGTACGTACAGTATACACGATTTCAGAAAACTAGTACTGTACAGCATATACAGTACAGGTATAATCACAGGCAGTATCATGAACATGGTAATTTTTTTTTTAATCTTTTTTTTTAAGATAATCTATTTTATGTAAATATCCACAGTACTTCACTATTTTTGTGGCCAAATTCAACTTGCAATAACAGCTTACTATTTGTTCCCTTTGATTAGAATATTTAAATTAAATCCTTGGATACCACCAGCCAACTACTGTATAAAACAACTGTTACTTCACTCAAGTTTAGTCGAATTGATGCCAAAATTTGATGCCAAAATTATGTGAAATATTTAAACAAAAACACAAATGTTAATCACTTTACTTTTATCAGGAATGCGCGTCAACAAAAAATAACCATAAATCCTTCAAAAACCTTACCGGTAAACCACAAGTTTTCCCTAATCAGTTCATTGGTGAAAAACCTAGTTTTAAAACATAATTTAACACCTATACTCAGAGGGAATGAATGCTTGTTTGACAC